CGTCAGTCGCGAACTATGAAATTTGTCACAATGGCTTAAAAATTACAGGTATAGTAATTTATTTTAACTTTGTTTACACTTCAAATATCAGTAATATTAAGGTATGTATGTGAAAATAAACTCATCTAAACTATTTTCAAGATTAACTTAGAAATCGAGATGTAATTAATCCAACAAAACCATTCAAACGTTTTAAATTCATTTTTCAAAATGTAAATTTTCATCGTATACATTTATGGTTGGAATTTGAAGACGGTTAAGTAAATTTTTGTGAATGATTATTTAACAGAAAGAAAATTCACTCTTATTTCGCAATATCATTATTATTGGAGACTGTCGATAAAAAAATCTCAGAATACTTGTAATCTTGAAGAAACTAATGTTCAGCGGCGTGTTCAATCTCACATTCTCCAACTTCACACTTCTTGGACTGAGCTATTCGAGTGACAATCAACCTCCTATGGAACTAAGGTGTATTTACAATTTTAAACCACACATTAGTAATTAATGCAACCTATGTGAAACTTTTATTAAGTCCACATTGATATTGTCCTAACAGTGTTTACATTTAGAGATAGAACCAAATAAAATCAGAAAACCAATTCTCATATATTAATAATAATCATAAAATTATTTTTATATCATAAGCCTAAACAGCAATTACATTCTACAGATTTTAAAGCAACTTGACTATCAGTAATTTAGAACAACACTGATTAGCGAACAATATTGTATTCGATTAAGATCGTCATCCGACTTTACTGTCTAATAAACACATGAATATATTTATATGGAAATGTTCCCAATGGAGTTCAATTCCGTCTCCTACACATAGCAGAAGCTATACGACTTCGTACATTCAACTCCAATTCGTAACACACTTATCTCTTCCGTGGCCGGATATGACGTAACTAACGTTTTAAAATATTTTTTGATTTCAATTTTATTTTGTTATTATAAGTATCATTTTCACATCCTGTATTTGTTAGTAATTTTCTGTCTCTTCCCATTTATATTCTTCTTCACTATCTAATTATTTTTACACATTTGCCTTTTACACAATGGTTTATAAGTTTTGTGATGGTTATTTTTGAGTCTATTTATCCACGTTTGACCTACTATTGACAAAATACTTTTGTTATCGTATTTTATAATTTTCTCACTACTATCAGTACACCTGTCTTCCTACTATCAACTTGTACTTTTACCTATTATGTGTACTCATATTATCTATTTCATTTCATTGTGATGATTAACTCTTAAATTGCCTTGATTAGTTTGACATTTTCATATAAATAGTCAAGTATAGTAGAATTGAGCTTGATGACGATCTAATCGAAAACAGTTATATTGTTCGCTTATATGTGTTGTTCTAATATTCACAATGGGAATCTTTAATATTCTTAAATAAATTATTTTATCAAGATTTTTGAAAAACAATCTCAAAGCTTTACTTTAAAATTATTAGTTTAGCTAAGAGCAAAGCTCCTTTGTATGTCAGTGTATACTATTCAGATAATGTATCTATATTGGTTACGTACAACATTGAAATTTGTTTTGAATGAATTAAAAAGAATTGATCAATGTCTTATTGGCACAAAATGCCTCTCTTCAAAACTTGACTCAAAAACAAGATGATGATAGCGATTTTTTCTTAGAGAACTTGATATCTGATATCATTACTTTGTAAGATATAAATTGAATCGGTAATTTGCGTTTTTCTCATGCTTAAAAATAATTAGCTTTCATCCAGTTAGTTGTAAAAAATAAGAGCTTTCAATAAATACGAATACAATTATCTTGGCCATCATTGTATACAGATAAGGAAATAAAGGAATGGAACGGAAAATATTCTGACTGAAAATCTGATAATCTGTATTAGAATATTAGATATTATCTGCGGATGAATATTTATTTATACAATAGTATGTTAGAGAACCAGTTTAGGTATTATTATTATTGTATATAACTTTAGTTTATAAATATTAAGTTGAACCCTGTCACATGTGAATCACTGGCACAATCTAAGACAGTGCTTAGGGTTGTGCAAGAGTGTGGATTGACTGAAATTAGGTATTAACACTGTTGGATGCTGGCTCAGTGGTCAAGGGGGTAAGAGTTCTAGCTTGAGACGGAAGACGCTGAGTTCTATTTCCTCTAGCGGCTGTCGTGGAAGCGCATTGATAATGCTAGGAACAAACAACTATAAAATGCTTCCAGGTTTCTAATGGTAGTCGAACATCTATCAATTCATGATTTCAATAAAATATTAAGCTCTGGATCTTAGACTAGTGATTCATCAGTCTTGTGCTCTTCCTCTGAGTTCGAGGCTATTTAGTATTAGGTCAACCGTCAGGCAAAGAGTATCACTTCTCTCGTCCTCCTCGCTCATCTGTAGTTCAAAAGTTATCTCTACGTTTTGGTCAGTGTAAGTGTTGGATCCAAACTGATGTTTGAACTGAGGAATAACTGTCTAGGTAGTTTAGATACTCGCTTTGCCTAGTTTAAGACCGAAATAAGTGATTTCGATGAATGTTCTGATATTCATCATAAATATAAATGTACATCATTAACTAAACAAATATTACCACTCAGTTGTTCCACCAACAATTGTTCAATTATTCAAATCATCAGCGACAGATAACTGATATTCTATCTGTCCTGGATAAATCAGATTCGTTCGACATATAATATTTGGTTGCTTTATAACACAGAGTGCTTCTTATTCTGGAAGAGTCCCTCAATTCAGAAACAAAATGCACAATTCCAGTCAAAGCAAGCAACGCAATCTAATGAAAAGAGAAACAAATCAATATGGCTGTTGCCATGACTAAGTATCAGCTTAAACAACATACTGCAGTTAAGAAAGAAACATAGAAACTCATTGAATGCAAAAGAACTGTAATATAATACAAATATTATCATCATCTTAAAATAAAATCGAACAGATTAACAAAATGTACAACTGGATGATAATCAATAAGGACAATGTGTACGAATGTATACATGGAGAGATTTTCACAAACATTGCCTTCAAAAAATGGATCTTACAGTTAGGCCAAAACATCATCATCTCATCATGCATTCAATATTTACGTATACCTAAGCATTCTTTATGTAGGTATTGACAGTCAGTATTAGAGACGAAGATAAAATCATTGTGATTATTTCCTGAGCAATATCAAGCATACAACATCAACTCATTCACTGTATGAAACAGTCACTTTTTCGTCTTTATTAAAAATTGCACTGTGTTATTACAAAAGGTCACTTGTTTTTACAATAATTTATGACTAAAGTTTCTTAGATCAGTCCAAGTTAGACGTTAACACCGTCGGATACCGGCCCAATGGTCCAGTGGTCAGGCGTTCGCGCACAATACCGAATATCCCGGGTTCGAATCGTGCTAGGTGTAGGAGTTGTGGATGCGCTCTGACACTGATGAGTTGCACACCAAGGCAAAACGGCCCGTCCAGTGCTTCCATGTTTCTAATGGTGTGGTCTAACAATGATTGATTGATGATTTCAAAAACTGTGTAAAAACACTAATCTCTATAACTCTCATTGAAAATAAAGTTTCTCCATTGATAGATAACTTTCATTTCACATTTTGCTATAAAAATCCCAAGGGCAATCAATGTCTTCTAAAGATTTTTAAAAATAATAACTCACTGAAAAGACTTCAAACATATGCTTATAGTCGAACTGTCGACTT